AAAATCGAATCTTGATCTGTTATAGTGGTGTATATTGATTTTGTATGAAAATTCAAATTAATTTATCATGCTTTCTTAAAAACGAATGTATGTTGTTCCTTAAAAAAATTTTCAACAATTCGTGTTAATTCGCACAGTCTATTTAGTCAGATTACTATTTTTTTTATATTACCTGTTCAATCTGAATAATTCTTTTCTTACATGTTGCCTTATAGGTGAAGAAGAATGTCATATTCGCAACAATAGAATGAAATGTTATTACATATTCACGGTGATCATACACATATGTTGTTCAAAAGAGGTAATGGACATTGTTATCTATATATTATTATAATTACATGAAAATTATTTTAGTTGCATAATCAGATTAATATTGTTGTGATTGATGTTATTTACAATAACTAACCATAATGTTTTGTATACGCATGAACATGAGGAACACGGTGCAAGCCAAAAAAAGATGGGAATAAGAAGATGTATTGACATAATGCAATAGAAAGATAAATGTAAACAAAGAGTATACACACGGTTTACTGCAACATATGTAGACACCATTAAATACATATTTTATGTCATTTTCATAAATTAGAAATTACAGCAAAATTTGAGTAAAATTTCCTGTTCACGCATCAAAATAAGTGAAATATTTGTTTAAATTTATCTTTTTTTACAAAAAGAGAACATAGAAAGAATAAACACTGTATACGTTAATCAAAATAATCAAATTAAAAAAGGTAAAGATAAAATTGGATTAAACTAATTAGTTAGATTAGAATTTTCAACTACTTGAATTCGATAAGATGCGGTTCTCGGAGATTTGTGTTCTACATGTGTAGAAGATTGTTTCTTTGTTTTTGTGCTACTCCTTGCTTTTAGATGGCCACGCTCTGATTTGTTTTCTCCATGTCTAGAAGGTTGTTTCCTTGTGTTTGTGCTACTCGTTGCTGTTAGATGGCCACGCTCTTTTGCATCATATCTACTGTCTGCATCCCCTTTCATGTTGGTCATATAGGTATTATGTACTATATGCTTCAATTAAAAAGACATATCAATACGATTAGAAAATAAGTAATGTTTGAAGAAGATGTAGAGAGAATGTAAAGAATAAGGTTAACCAAGAAGTGCAGAGCGTGTCAATTAGAATCTCACATATAAAGATATATATGTGTCAATTATATATATATATATATATAGAGTTAGGATCACACGAGAATGGTACATAGTGAAAGAAATAAGAATAAATATGGGCCTTTAGATCTATGAAATCAACGGTGAAGATACAGGTCAAAGCTGTTTATTTAATGGTCACTACGCGGTGGCATTTTAGTAATTAAAAGGAAGTCTGTAGTCCTTTGTTAAGAGATGAGGGGCAGAGGCGTATTTTTCTCTCGATCGCGTGTTGCTCAGACACATTCAATGCCGTTTTTCCCAAGGAGCACTTGATTGCAATGCCGTTTTTTCCCAGGAGTAATTGAGAGTTATGTCAGAAAATTTGGGAGAGATGAGTTAATATCAGTAATGGAGAAAAATGGAGTTATCGATTGAGCTATGACTTTCTGATTCCGATTTCCGTCTATGTTCGTTTGCGAGCGTCTGTGTTTCATAAATCACATTTTTAGAGCTTAGTGTTAATCGGTCAGAGACGCACACGATGGGAAACTCACCAAATCTAAAAAACACAGGTATCTTTGTTGTTCGAGTATGCTTTCTATGGATGTGTTGTTTTTACAAGAGCTTGATTTTTTCGGTTTCAACGGAGTTATACGAATTTTCATTACTCATAATATCACGGATTTCAGTGTTCATAATACCGTTTAGAATTGAAACTTTCTCTGTTTCAAAAGTTGAATGGGATCTTTATATCTCACAATCTCTATGTGCATACATCTTAATGGTTAGTGTGTACATATGTTGGTCCTACCACTGTTGCCATATTATCACCCGAAAATAACTTCTGTTTT